TACTCTCACTTAAGATGAAGGCTTACAGAACAAAATAGTTTTTCATTTAACAGTTAGTACACATGTTGCCCTATGGCAATGGTAAACAATCTCACAACACATCAACAATATACTTACTCAACCTTGGGTTCACTATCACCAGCTTCCTTGTCCCCTTCTGCCTTCTGGCCCTTGTCACTGGACTACTGTACCTCATTAGTCCCCTTTGGTTTTACGGGGCTGTCCACTCCCAGGCTGAACGGTGAGCCTCGGAGATAACTTCACCACTGAGCTAAAAGGTTGTCTGGGGGCCATACTCTCGAGGTTTCTCCAGTCTCCTTTAGGCCAGTAAATCCGGTCTTTTTTTTGTGAGTTAGAATTATGTTCTACATCCTTCTCCATGTCTGTCCAGAACCCTCTGTGGTGATCCTGGTCAGAGCAGTCATCAGAGAAGCTCTTTTTATGACCCAGCTTTGAAAGTCATAATGTCTCACTCTTGCCTCATGCCATTCATTAGAAATGAGTTACCAAGTCTGATCCACATTCAAGGGGAAGGGAATTAGGCTCTTATCTTTCAAAGGGAGGGGTGTTGAAGAATTTGTGGATATATTTTAAAACTACCATTATCTAGTAGGAGGTGGGGCCACAATTAAACCTGTCTCCTGGCCAGAAAACCACACAAGACCCTGGGTGAATATGTACAGATACTGCTCATAGACTGGGTGAATTAAATACACAGAATGATTCAAGCCAACTCTCAACTGCCCAGTGGCTGAGTATTCAAGCTCTTTGCTTATCCAGAGCTACATCTCTTTTCCTACCTTTTATCTTTTTCCTATTTCCTGCTGAGAAGCCACTTTTATAATTTATTAGTGGTTGATAAAAAGTTTCCTGGGCAAGAAGTTTGAAACTACTGGTTGAAGCTGTAAGTCTGTGGATTATTTTTGACTATCTGCACAGACAGCCCTCGGAATACGAACTAGTTCCGTTCCTAAGTCTGTCTTTAAGTTGAATTTGTACGTACATTGGAACAGTTAGGTACAGTTCATATCTAATGTCAGTTAGTCAGATATTTCTCTTAGTATGTAGTATATATATGTATATATAGTATGTAGTACCTTTCTATGCATAAAGAACAACATTAAAGAAACACTTCCAGATACACTAAAACATCTTTAACTTAATAATACAGTAATAATAATGCTTTGGTGCACATCACAAAGTAGCGCCTGTTTGTTATTACGAACCATTGTATGTATGTACCTTGAATTTTTAATATAATAGGCTTTATGGAGATTGGTTCATAACTACGGCTTGTAGGTAAGTCAGACATTCGTAATCTAGGGACTGTCCTCCATATTGTTCCCATTCAATGTAGAGAATTGAGAATATGTAGTAAGCAGTTACGTGGTGCCTTCAGTTTTGTATCTCCTCTCGATCCTTTCCTGTGCTACCTAAGCTGGTATGAGATGGGGTCCCTTTGTTCCTTGGTGGAAGTTATATCTGCTATAATTACTATTGTGTTGTGTGTTTTGGGGTGAATACAGTGTTAGACTTCTGGAAGACCATGCTCCAAGGTTGGGAGAGAGATGGGCACTTAGTGATCAGACATGGAAACAAATCTAGAAAAGTAGGCTAATGGCTTAGGTGACAATCTGATTTGGGAAATAATTGTTTAGTTTCTGGGATTAGGACAGAACAGATTTCTGTCTGACAAATGAACTAAGAGCAGATGGCATCCCTCAGACAAGGAACAGAAACTTAATGGTGACCCAACAGGACCTAGAATTTTTGAATGAGGAAGAGAAAGAAGTCTCTCTTTGCTATTAGAAAGATATACCATAATTCAGGAGGCTGTGTTTATTCCTTCAGTGAAGGCAAACTGAGCAGATGAGGAAGAATTGGATGGGGTAGGATTTCTAGGGGTCTAAAGCTGTAGACCTTCACCCATCTATCAGCTTGTCATTCTGTGGTGGCTTGTGTGTTGCTACGATGCTGGAAGTTATGTCACCGGTATTTCAAATATCAGCAGGGTCGCTCATGGTGGACAGGTTTCAGTGGAGCTTCCACAGTAGAATAGACTAGGAAGAAAGGCTTGGTGACCTCCAGTTTCTGTGAGCTTTTCTTACTTCAGTGTTGTTTCCATGTTTTTTTTATTTCCAGATCTTCTTCAGGACACCTTCACATCCCTAGGCTTTGAAGTCCAGTACTTCCGGTATCTCAGTGTGGACGGTATAATTCAGATTCTTCACCAAGTTGCCTGTATGCCCCAACATCAAAATTATGACAGCTTTGTGTGTGTCCTGGTGAGCCGAGGAGGCTCCCAGAGCGTGTTTGGCGTGGATCAGACTCGTTCAGGGTGCCCCTTGGATCAGATCAGAAGGATGTTCATGGGAGATTTGTGCCCTTCTCTCTTAGGGAAGCCAAAGCTCTTTTTTATTCAGATCTATGTGGTGTCAGAGGACCAGCAGGAGGTTAGCAGCCTTCTGGAGGTGGATGGGGCAGGGATGAACATTGTGGAATCCAAAGTAAGGCAGCCTGGGCCCTGCATGGTCCACCGAGAAGCCGACTTCCTCTGGAGCCTGTGCAGAGCAGATGTGGCCCTGCTGGAGCAGTCCCCCTGTTCGCCCTCAGTGTACCTGCAGTGCCTCTCCCAGAAACTGCAGCAAGAAAGGTGAGCCGCCCAGGGGGTGGCCAGACCCTAGAGCACTTGTCCAACATGGGGAGTACCACTGTTCTGTGTTTGATGCCTGTCTCTTCAGGGAGGAAGAGGAATTTTTCATTCCCCATTGGGGTTACCTTAGGAATATGATATAAAATCAGAAAACCAAACCCGGTGCCGTCAAGTCTATCCCGACTCATAGCAACCTTATAGGACAGAGTAGAACTGCCTCCCAGGGTTTCCAAGGAGCGGCTGGTGGATTTGAACTGCTGACCCTTTAGTTAGCAGCCTCAGCTCTTAACCACTGCACCGCCAGGGCTCCAGGAATATGATATAGACCCTACACAATTTATGATGGTTTGTGTTTCAGAAGATCACTTGTAAGTGAATTTGTAGTTTGAATTTTTTTCTTCAAAATTAAGAAATTCTTTATTTTTTTCTTATAACAAAAGCAGTACATACTCCTTACAGAAAAAAAACTCATAAAATGTAGAAGCTAAAAGCAGAACATAATAAACAGTTATACTCCTATTTCAAAGAAGCAACCTTTGTTAATCTAATCTTGGTGTATTTCTTTCCAGATCTTTTTTCTTTGAATATCCACACAATCACATATAAATATGTTTGTAAGCCAAAATGGAATCATCACCTCCTATTACTTTATAACCTGCATTTATTTTGCTTAATAGTATATTACAAACATTTTTACATATCAGTATTCACATTTCTACAGTATTGTTTTAATGGCTGCAGGGTAGCCCATCATGTGGCTGGCTATAGCATAATTTACCGACCAATCTCCAGTTGTTGGACAGTGTTTTGCTTTCACAAAGAGTTAAACATCTTTGTAGCTCAGGATTTATGTTTATCCTTAGTTGTTTTCATAGGGAAAATTCTCAGATGCGGAATTACTGTGTTTTTTTTTAATTATGGTAAATACATCGGTAACAAAACATTTACTGTTTCTACAGTCTTCACATGTACAGTTCAGTGACATTAGTTACATTCATCATGTTTAATCATCACCATTAGCCATTCCCAAATTTATTACTCTTATCAGAAGCTCAGTGTCTCCTAAGCATTGAGTCTTGCATTTTTAAAGCCTTTGATGTATCTTAACCAGATTGTCCTCTAGGACAGTTAAACAGGTTTGTCTAGGAGTACCTGCTTCCCTGAATTCTCACCCACACTGCATGTGTTTCCCTGCCCCCTAAGTTTTGACAGTTTGATGAGTGACAAATGGTATCTGACTGTTGAGGTCTGTAAGTCTTTTTTATGTAAACATTTTTAATGTTTATTGGCAAGAATACTTTTCTTAGGGGAACATTGGTGACCTAGTTTCCATTTAAGCTGAATGAAGCCACAGTGTACCTCAAGTTTGAGATTAGCTGTCCTTTTTCAGTTTCTCTCTAATTACAATTTAGAATGATGTTTCTGAGCCACCTGGGAAATGCATTCTGGCTTCTGGCTCTGTGTGGCCTAGGAATAAATCTCATACCCCTTTATCCCTAACCTCCTCAGTTGTGGCTCAGCAGAAGGAAGGGGAGAGCTATAGCAGAAGCAACTCAGCTCCCAAGGTAGATACTCCGTGGGCCAATGATATTATTGGCCTTTTACATCATCCTGCATTTGCATAGGTGATCCAGGTGGGTTATCATCCAGCTGATGTGTTCCCAGAGTAAATCTAGGGGAAGGGACTGTGGTCATTGGGCAGGTTTGGATCACTCACTAAGCAGCTTGTAGAATATTTAGAGAGTGATAATTCCAAAACACGTTCACATCTGTCGGCTCATTTCACCCTAATGACAGTCTGTCCTCTCTTTGATATTTGCATGGCATTCATTTTTGCTTTTCTCGTTTCTTCCAGAAAACGCCCACTCCTGGATCTCCACATTGAACTCCACAGCAAAGTGTATGATTGGAACAGTAGAGTTTCTGCTAAGGAGAAGTATTCCGTCTGGCTGCAGCACACGCTGAGAAAGAAACTCATCCTTTCTTGCAAATGAAAAACCAAGAGCCCTTCTTAGCCCTACAGTTTCCACCCCTAGAGGGAGGGTTTTCAAGCAAGTGTGTATGTGTGTGATGTGGGTGAGGTAATGTCCCATCCTATGCTGAAATGAGCCTCTGTGAGGACTGTTTGTCTGGAAGGGGTGTTTGAACTATAGATTCTGAAGTGAAGGTATTGATCTCTATTCTCATTCTTATTATTAACTATAACAGCACATTTCTCTTAATTTAGGGGTTGGATCATCACCACTTTTTGAAAGTAACTTACTGAAATGTCAAGAGTAGAACATGGTAATGGATTTATGGCAAATCTTTCCCTGTAGGTTTTTCATAGTGTATCCATACCAGAGTAAACTCCAACCTGGAACCATTGCACAGCCTCCTTACCCAGGGGCTGTGAGAACTGTAGGGGGTTGCACAGTGTGAAAAAAAATGTTATGGGTAGACTGTTGTTTGATAGGATAAGCAAAAAACTGCAGACATATAACTCATAGTATTTATTTATATTACATTCTACTTTTTGTATTCTTATAATGCTAATCTATATTTATATTTGCAATGGGATGGATTGCTTTTATATGGCCTTTCTTTCCATGATCTTATAACTGTCATTAAATGATTGAGTGGGACTATGTAAATAAGGTACCCTGTGTCCTACCAAGGGGATTGGACAGTGCTATGGATTGAATTGTGTCCCCAAAAATATATGTTGTAAATCCTCTATACCTGTGGTTATAGTCCCATTTGAAAATGGATTATCTCTGTTATGTTAATGAGACAGGATTACTATTGGGGATGTCTTGAGTCAGTCTCTTTGAGATATAAAAGAGATTAAACAAGCCAACAGAGAAAGAGAGATGGGGTAAGATAGATGCCAAGATACATGGAGCTCTCCAAGGAACCGGGAAGCAGAGGCTGAAGAGACAGGGACCTTCCTTCATAGCCGACAGAGAGAGAAAGGCTTACCCTAGAGCCAGTGCTCTGAATTTGGACTTCTAGCCTCTTAAACTGTTAGGAAATAAATTTCTGTTAAAGCCACCCACTTGTGGTATTTCTGTTACAGCAGTACTAGGTAACTAAGACAGACAGCTTGCTAATAATGCAAATAAGGTATATGGCACCCTTGTGGAATGGGACCATGCGAATAAGGTGTATAGAACCCTAACAAGAGGATTGGTCAGTTTTACCATCCTGATAGTCTTAAAATGAGCCATCCTAGAGGTGGAAAGGGGAGACCTCACTACCACCAAGAAAGAAGACCTGGGAGCAGAGCGCATCCTTTGGACCCAGGGTCCCTGCTGAGAACTTCCTATATCTAGGAGACAGAGAGCTGTAACACCAGAGATGACACAAGATGGTGCAAAGCTGCAGCAAGCGTGACAGAGAACCAGCAGCAGGAGAACCGGCAGGTTTAAATTCTGAAGATCTTTTACATCAATATGTGCCTTCTTAGTCCTACATGAGAGTAAATATTGTATCATTCAGAATGCTTTTAGATGCAAATAACAGAAGTCCTAACTCAGTAAAAAAGTCTATTTTGTTTGTTTAATCTCGTTAAACAGGAAGTCCAGAGGTAGGGAGGCAGTTGCTGGGTTGATTAATTCGATGGCCTGGTTATGTCATCAAGGACTTGATGCTTTCTACCTTTTATCTCTGTAGACTCAGCATTTTGCTTTTCATCTTCAGGTTTGTTATCTCATGGTCACAAGATGGCCACAGGTCCAAGTATCGTAACCACATGACAGAAGAGAAAACATCTTTTCCCTGTGTCTCTTCTTAAGATCAAAGGAAAATTTTCCCAGAAGCTTTCCTCCCCAAGTGTCACCTCCCCTCACCTCTCATTGGCTACAATTGCCTGACATGTCCATTTTTTAAACCAAACATTGGCAAAGGGAATGGAATTACCATGGATGGTTTAGACCAATCCACGTTCAGTCCTCTGGGATTGTTCCTCTGAGGCACATGGTCTCTAAAACCTGGGGTTCTGTTAGCAAGGGAAAAGTGGAGCATGGAGCTCCTCTGTGGGCTAGTCGACCATAATGTATGCCAAAAGAATGAGAACACTTATATTATGGATGAAGAAACTGAAGCACAAAGCCATTAAGTGACTTGTACCCAGATCTCAGAGGACCTCAGTGGTAGTGCCAAACCTAGAATGTTAATAACCAACTTTATGATCTAGTGTCTTTTACAAATTAAAATAACATTGGGAATGTTTAGCATCATACACCTCTGTGTTTTATGTGAGAATCATTGTCCTGCCTTTCCAACCCCTACTCTCTCCCCTCAGAGAGGCAGCATGACCACATATTTTGCCTTATCCCATCTGCTTGACATGGTAAAAATACAAACTTGACAAATCAATGTCTTTTCTTCCCTAGCTTTCCTTTCCTTTAAAAAAAAAAGATCAACTCTTAAATTATGCTGTGTTGTCTCTTTGTTTACTTTTGTCATTTTTCTTTTTTTTGTCTTTAATTACATTATTTTTTATTAATACCAAGTACCAGTGAATCCCCAGACCCCAAAGGGAAGAGTGCTGAATGCTTTCTTTGTGTGTTTTGTTTACTAGCAAGGGTACTGGGTAGAGTGTAGAGAGCAGTAGACCAATAATCCGGGGATTATGGTTCCAGGGCCAGACTTATCTCTTCACTGCCCATGTGACTCACGGCAGAGACACGGGCTTTCCAAGCTGCCAGAGTGGAAAGAGGAAGGCCTTGCCTTCCCTGGCCCACCTCACAGGATTGTTCTGAGGATGAGATGAGAGAGTCTTTATGACTGTACTTGGGTGATGCCATGCAAATGTAAGCTGCTGTTATTATACCACATTACGGAGGGTTATTTTGGAAAGATTGAACCAAACCTGGAAGAGTTGGCAGGATTTTGGCAGATTGAAATGGGGAAGAGAATATGTTGCAGGAAGAGGAAACAAGCTGAGTGAAGGAACAGATAGGGGAAATGCGGGATGTTTTAGAAACCTTGCAGAGCCTTGCTGGCACAGTGGTTAAGAGCTTAGCTGCTAACCTAGAGGTTGGCAGTTTGAATCCACCAGTATCTCCTTGGGGTAGTTCTCCTCTGCCCTTTAGGGTTGCTATGAGTTGGAATCGACTTGGTGGCAACGGGTTTGGTTTTAGAAACCTTGACTGTCATGTTTAGCTGGAGTGGACAGGATGTGAGTAATGGTGTGTGGTAAGCGTGGAGATGGCAGTGGTTAGATTGTGACGAGCCTGAAGGCCTACATCTTCGTCTTTCAATCTGTTGTCATGTAAGGTGTCTTCCTCACTTTTATAGTGGTGTCTTTGACTCTTTCTTTGCTACTTTTGTATATGAGCGTTTGATTACTAAATGCTTTTCTTTTTTCATTGAGTCTAATTTTTAATGAAACATTTTAGACATATTAAAAGAGACCTATTTAGATAACAATATAATGAATACCCATGCACCCACAACCCAGCTTAAATAAAATGTACCAAAATGTATATGAAGACCCTTAAGACATTACTTTAAGGAAGTAGTCCTAAATATAAAAGAGACAAATGCACTAAAAAATTTCAAACTTTATAATAGCCCCAAACTGAGAACTACCTAAAGTCTTCAGTAATAGGGGCTTGGTTATGATGAACTGTCCCCTGGTTGGAATTTTATGTAGCCATTAAAATTATATGTACAAATCATAATTACGTATGTTGATTGAGCTGTTAGGAGGTCAGTTTACATAAATTACCTCATTTAATTATCGAAGCAGCCCTATGAGGTAGGTAGTATTGTCCTCATTATTACTTCTTCCCACTTTATAGATGAGGAAAATGAAGCAAAGTGATGATAAGTAGCTTACCCGTGGTCACCCAGCACTATGACATGAATTCAGGTTGTAAAGAGAGCCACTTCAGGGCCAACACACTTAACGAGTTCACTGTATGGCCTCAACAAAGAATGTCATTACACGCAAAATGCTCATATATTAATGTTATGTGAAAAAAGGCAGCACGCAAAATAATGCATCTAGTATGTTTACAGTAACTATGTTTAAAATAAAACAAAAATACCTCTTATAGGAGAACAAAGGGGCAGAAAAAATTCCGAAAAGGGTGTATGGATGCCAGGACTGTGGCTGATATTTTTTCTTCTCTCTGTTTTCCTAATTCTCCTCTATATCTAAATATGTTTGACAATATTGGTTTCTACACTAAAGCATAGGTAATCTCTTTCAGCTTTTGACTAGTTGGTTCATCATTGCTAATGAAAATACCCTTCTCTTCTTAGTTCTGTTTTTACTTCTCTATCTCATCCTCATCTCCTCTTTTGAGTAACAGGGAACCCTGGTGTCAAGACTGCTTCTGTGACCACTGGCTATGAGGACTGACTTTAGAGCTCACTTCCGTTTCCACCCCTCAGCCCCTTCCTTTTCCTGGAATAGGTCACGCTAACATCACTTGTACACCTCCTGTCTGCAGTGTTTGAAATGGGAATCTGCTCCTCCCAGATCCTGGGAGCACATTTTTGGTACTAAGCATGTTTCTTATACCACTAAGAGGTCAGAATTTGAGGTCAGCCTTTCAAGTTGGCTGTGTGGCAGACCCTGCTTGCTGTCCCCAAATATCCATTCCCCTCTTTTTCCCTCATAAGAGAAACCCCAATTTGTAACTGGGCACGTAGCCTCGTAGAATCCAGACTACTTGTCCAAGCCTCAACTTATAGCTAGGTATGTCCTTGTGACTAAGTCCTGACCAATGAGGTGTAAGCAGAAGTCTCATGTGACAGCTGGTATTTGCTCTTTGCCCCTTCTCTGTCCCTTCCTCCATCCTGCTAACTAGAATGTGGATGTGATGGCTGGATCTCCAGCAGCCATCTTGAACTGGGAGGATAAGGGCCATACTATAGGGATGGCTGAGTGGAATGATGCAGTCTCCTCAATAAAAGCACCTAAGAAAATCAGCAGTAATTATATAATGTCATCTAATACACAAGTCCATATGCAGATTTCCCCAACTGTCCCCACAAGGCTTTTATAGCTGATTTTTCCCTGGCCAGGATTCAGGCATGGTTCATACATTGATTTTGTTGTTTTATGTGTCTTTAGACTCTTTTAATCTAGAGCAATCAGCCCTCCAACCATTTTATCCCCTTAATGAACTGACTTTTAAAGTGTCTAGGTTAGCTGACTTGTAGAATGTGCCACATTCTAGATTTAACAAACACCGATGGACAGTTTACTGTACTATGGTGCATAGATAAAGTAGGCAAAACCTGAACTTCAATTATAATAATATCCAGTGGCAATTTCCAGTGTATGAAGGCTGGCTGTTTCCTTTTTATTCAAAGCAAAATTTTATCTCCTAAGGTTCTCACAAATAACACTTCTGAAAATAGGCCCAGCAAATGTTACCCATATCCTTTCAAATTCACTCAAAATTTACTGATTCACTTCCAGAGAGGAGCATTTGGGATTTTTAAATGCCAAATTTAGGACTGTATTCTGTAGGGGTCCTTGGGAGGTTGTTGTTTTGTGTGTGTGTTTAATAGACTTTATTTTTTAGAGCATCATTAGACTTAGAGAAAAATTGTGCAGAAAGTACAGACTTCCCATATACTCCCCTCCCCTCCTGCACACTGTTCCTCTTATTATTAATGTCTTGCATTTAGGTGGTAATTTGTTACAATTGATGAGCCAATATTGACACATTATTATTAACTAAAGTCCATAGTTTATATTAGGGTTTACTTTTTGT